GACCAGGCTGGCCTCGAACTCACAAAGATCCACCTGCCTCTGCCTCCCAAGTGCTGGGATTAAAGGCGTGCACCACCACACCCAGCCAAAGAGAACATTTTTAATATTCTAATATTTTAATAGAGAATTACAATTCTCATTGTGATTTCTACTACTAACTTTGGGGCCTTCCAGGGTCATTTACCCAGGGACCTACTGCACCCAGCAGGCCCCAGGGAAGGGGTGTTATAGCCAGCATTTACAGTCAGGGAAGAGATACAGTCCATCAGTACATGGCCCTGAGTTCCTGTTGCTGGATCTTTTGACAGAGGTGATGATGAGACACTGCATAAGAACAATGCATTGAAAGTTGTACGAGAGCTACAAGCCCAGATTGCTGAGCTCCAAGAAGACTTTGAGTCTGAAAAGGCTTCACGGAACAAGGCTGAAAAGCAGAAAAGGGACTTGAGTGAGGAACTAGAGGCTCTGAAGACAGAGCTGGAGGACACTCTGGACACCACAGCGGCTCAGCAAGAACTGCGGTAAGTGTGCCCGGCCACCTTGAGGCACCTGGCAGCTGCACCTAGCAGTACAGAGATGTCGTGCATGCGCTGGCTCCATTGCAACATGGTGGGTTTTTTTTCAGATGTCATTCTGAGTAGCTGGTCTCCCCCTTGGAAGGGTTTCGGGTAGAGTGGTAATAGTGTAGCTGTAGTTAGAAACCAGAAACCAAAAGCATCTGTGCAGGGGTGGTAGGTGGCCCAGCACCCTGAGAGATGTAAGATGTGGTCAGTAACTGGTCACCAGGGGATACCTAAAGAAAGGCAGAGTAAGTTATAGTCAGAAGTATTGGGAAAGATTTATAGAGGGTGAGAGACAGAACCAGAGGGAAAGAGGATAAACACAGAAGGGATATGTTGAGTGATGGGGCACCTGCTGGCAGTACAGGTTGGCATGGACACTGAAGCAGATGAGGAAGAAGGTATGCAGACACAGATGAAAAGCAGGGTGAGGCCTGGAGAGATAACTCAGAGGAAGAGTGCTTGCTGAGCATGCAGAAGGCTGTGAGTTTGATTCCCCAGCACTGCAAGAAAGAAAAAAGCAGAGTGGGCTCAGGCTTCAGATAGGCATCCACTAGGTGGAGGCGTATGCAGTGAGCCAAGAACCAGATGCAGGCCTGAAAAGATGACATGCATAGGTGGACACAGCCACAGAAGGTTCACAGGTAGGAGAATGTAGCATGTCAGCCCACAGAAAGCCCCAGCACACAGACCAGGCAGGGCCACTGCTGTATAGATGCCATTCTCTTGGCATCTGTTGGGGCTGTGGAAAGTGTTAAGGTTCAGATAGCCCTGCCCCCTCACCAATGGGATCCCAAGGACTTCTCATGCTCCTGAGAAAAGGGAACCTCGCTGATAAGCACCTTGGTCTTTGAAGTCAAGAGAAGCAGACTTTTCTCCACTGTTTGGCCAACACAGCAGGCTTCCCCTTTGATCTCTAAAGAGTACCGGTTTTAACAGTCCTGCTCTCCCACTTCCCCCTACCCACTTTTAAAAAAAACTACATCTTCCCACCTTCTGCAGGAAGCAGAAGCCTCCCTTTTTAAAAGACCCCAGCTCAAGACCTGAGCAGACATTTTCCCTGCCCGGAAGGGAATCTGTCCCATGTGTTCCTTTGCTAATAAACCCTATTTTGATGGAGTTTTAGCTATGCCTCGGTGCCTCATCATCCATTCGCTTGTTCTTCGCCATCTTTTTACCTATCAGAAAGATGTTGTGGAAGGTGGTCCACCTTGCTGTCCTGGCCTCTTGCTGGCCATCTGCTCCCTCCTCTAGACCAACTGACAGGTAGCTGTGAATCCCAAACAGAAGGGAGCCCACACTGCCTAGGCTGGTGATTCAGTTCAATTTATGTGCGCACACATCTGTCTGCTGCTCCAGGATTCAAGTGATGGAAGAGCCACACCTTGCTCTGGGGTGTGGCTACAGCATAGAATAAAGTGAGAACATAGGAATCATTTTTTTTTTATTTATTATTTTTATTTTATGTGTATGCATGTATTGCCTGCGTGTAGGTAAGTGCACCCATGTCGTGCAATGCCCGTGGAGGTCAGAAGAGGCTGTCGGATCCCCTGGGACTGGAGTTACAGATAGTTGTTAGCTGCCATGTGGTGCTGGGATTTGAACCCAGGTCTTCTGTAAGAACAACCACTGTTCTTAACCACTGAGCCATCTCTCCAGCCCCAGGAATCATTTTTGAATACAAGTGTCTGGGAGGTGTAGGAATGGCCCAGAGCATTCAGAAGGGAGAAAGTGTGCCAAAAGCCAGTGCTCTGCTTTGGAAGACCAAGATGTAACCTTCCACATGATGAGAGTCTACAGGAAATGAGGTTATTGAGTCTAGCATCTGGGTCCACCCAGTGGTCAGAAATCAGGCCCCAGAGAGAATGACATCACAGTGTATAGATAGCAGGTTGGCTGCGTAGAGTAACCAGGGTTTCCAGAATACTTGATAACCACAAGCAGTGAGCCTACTGCAGTGCCAGAATTTGAGCCATGAATGTGCACTTGCTTTTTAGTTATGGCCTATTTATTTATTTATTTATTTATTTATTTATTTATTTATTTGTCTTTTTTGAGACAGGGTCTCCCTGTAGCCCCAGCTGTCCTGGAACTCACTATGTAGACCAGGCGGGCCTTGAACTCACAAAGATCCACCTGCCTCTGCCTCCCAAGTGCTGGGATTAAAGGCATGCGCCCAACTCACCCGGCTAGTTCTTGCCTTTTTAAAGGATCTGCTTTTTGCATAAGTATCTGCTCTAAGATGGGCATTTGGGGGGACTTAAAAAATAAAACTGATGTGAGTGCTCAGTAGGCAGAAGCAGGTGGATCTCTGTAAGCTCAAAGCCAGCCTGGTCTTCATAGTGAGTTCCAGGCCAACTGTGCTACAGGGAGACCCTGTCTCAAAAAAAGAATAAAAAATTAAGTGTGTCAGGGGGAGGTAGGCATGTGCTTCTGGGAGGGTTGACTGCAGAGACCAGAGGCATCAGATCTCCTGAAGCTGGAATTACAGGCATTACTGCCTGACATGGGTGCTGGGAACCAAACTCAGGTCCTTTATAAGAGTAGTACCACTGAGCCCCTCAGGTGGCTTTTTACCACAGCCCTGATCATTTCTCCCATTCAGCTCTTGAAAAACTAAAAATAAAATACACTGAGTGTGGTGCCTCACACCTATAATTCTAGCACCTGAGAGGCCAATGTAGGAGGATTGCCACAACTTTGAGGTCCAGCCAGGCCTACAAAGCAAAACCCTGTATCAAAAAACTACAAATGATGCATGCATGTTTATTAAAACCATTCATGTGCTCAACTGTGGCACTTACTGGATATGTTTTGTACAACATGAGATCACTACTTGAAGCTTCAGTATCCAGTGCTCTGTTAGAGTACTAACCCACCCTTGCCTTGTCTCCTGGTTCTTCCCTAAGCTGTATCTCATGGGCAAATGGAATTCTTTTCTGTGGACTCAGGCATCTTAAGGCCCTCTAGCACTATGTTGAAAGTCTACAGGGAGTGGAATTGTTGGGGAGAGACAGGAACTGAAGGATTCTTTGGGTCTTGGATTCAAGTAGAGACCAGGAGCAAACTGAAAAGATGAGCTGATAGCAGGGGGGTTGCTGGAAGGCTGATAAGCAGAAGTCCTGGTGAGTTGAAGTAATCCCAGTGGAGCATGTGCCCAAGGCAGGCCAGACCAAGTATTTGTGGCATCTCACTGAGCCAGCTGGACCTGTGGTTGAACTCAGCTGGGCCACAGTCTTCAGTAATTCTTCTGTCTGGACTACTTGTGACCACAGAACTGGCAGCTGCCATGGCCCTTTCTTGGCAGTGAGCTCGATCTTCTCTCTGGCCCCACTCCTCTACTAGGAAAGAGAAGAGACACACAGGAGTCAGCATGGGTTGTACATTTGAACATGTACAGCTTCAGGGTTACAATGAGACTACAGCTAATTAACACATGCTAATGTAGGTCTTAGCAGGAGTAGGCTTAATTTCATTGGCTTCAGTGGGGTGGAGAGGGTAACAAGGGCCTCCCACATGACAGTCAGGAGTTCTGCCACTGAGCCATGACCCAACACCTAGCTAGCTATGTGCTTAAATATAGTGCTGAGGTTGACAAATTTAAAGAATGGCTTATTATGGGAGCTTGTTCATCTCTTGTTAGTGAAATAACGAAGTTATTCATGTTATTCTTCTTATGGTATAAATAATTCTGAAAGTACTAGAAAGCCATACCAGAGTGTTTCGTACTAATATGATCTTCATGTCTTCAGCAACAATTAGGTAGACCCTCAACTTATCTCAGAACATTCAAATTGTGTGGTCTTATTATCTATGTCTACATACCAAACACCAGAGACCCTCTCTGAATGCGAGATGGAACCCTTCAACCCGCCGTCTAATCTCCCTCTCCCTTCCCAACCTTCTACCATTTCCTGACGGAGCCTGGGACAAACATTAGCTAACCTCATCCCTTCACATGGAAGGTGGGAAAGAGGTGTGCTTTTGGTGTGGTGCAGGGTTCTGTTTGACTTTACCTTCACAATATGAGGAGCCTCTTGGGATGTATCTCGGGAAATCTGCTAGACTGGGGCAGTTGGCATGGCATCTCACATCAGCCAGTTCTTGGCATGAAGTGAGGCCAGACTGCCCAGAAGGGTTTGAAAACCCGTATGGATATCACAGCAAGTCTTGGTTGTAAATCAGATACGTAACGGAAGTTGAACTGTTTCTAGAAGGATTTCTGATACCACAATAATGAACATGCCAGTTTATTGGAATATCTTCTGATACTTGTCAAAGGAAATACCACAAGATTTAAAACAAGAAAATGAGTCAGATGTGGTGGTACTCACTTTAATCCCAGTGCTCAGGAGGCAGAGGCAGGCAGAACTCTCGTGTTCAGAGTCAGCCTGGTTTACATAGTGAGTCCCAGACCAGCCAGAGCTATGTAGTGAGACCCAGTCTCAAAAAACTAAAAACAAGAACAGCACATAAAATGTGTTTTAATTGAATCTGTTGGCTGATTCTGATCTTCATACTTTAAAAATATTTCTTTAGCACCAAACGTGAACAGGAAGTAGCAGAGCTGAAGAAGGCTCTCGAGGAAGAAACTAAGAACCACGAAGCTCAAATCCAGGACATGAGACAAAGACACGCAACTGCGCTGGAGGAGCTCTCTGAGCAACTTGAACAGGCTAAAAGGGTAGGGCCTGCTGTGTGCCAGTGTCCCAGGGAAAACCCACCACTGGACACACCCCACCCTACTTGGCTGTGTGTCCAGTACTGGTTAGCTCCCAGCCTCAGAACAGCACTGTGGGGGACAAGGCCCATAAGGCAGTAGCTGCTTTCATGCTTGCTTTTTAAAACTTGTGTATGTTTTTATTTCATGTGTGTGTTTGCCTGCATGTATGTAAGCACACCAGGTGTGTACAGTGCTGGCAGAGACCAGAAGAGGATGTCAAATCACTGGAACAGGAGTTAATGGTTGCTAGCCACCACATGGGTGCTGGAAACTGAACACAGATCTTCTGTAAGAGCAGCCAGTGCTCTTAACTGCCGAGCTATGTCTCCAGCCCCAGGAGCTACTTTCTTAATACATGCTGCTTATTTAGGGAAAAGCCATATGCCCTGGAGAAGTGGATGGATCCAGCTCCCAACCCACTATCTCACTTCCATCACCATTGCCCCAGGGGCTTGGCTCACAGACTTTGAGTGGTTTCACAGCTGTCTTCTCTTGACTGACGCCAGTAAGCCACAGTCCCATGACTGCTCCCCTTCACCACTCACTGTGGTCCCTTCCTGCCTGTGCTCTCATCTCACCCACACCCACACTGTTGTCATCCCTTCCATTGTGCCTTCCTGTCCCTCATGTGCAGGCACTTACTCTGCCAAGACTTTGTTTGCCCTCCTCCATCTCATATCCTCCTCCTGAGCAGGTGGTCTTCCTCCTGGTTCTTCCCCACAGAACATCCTTGCCTTCCTTGCATTGCTTTTTCTTGTCTCTCCTCCTTTTTCTACTTAGCCACATGCTACCTTTCACTGTACAAGGTGGCAGTGTCACTATATCCTAAACCTGTACATTAGTGAGGGTTAGTTACTGTGCTAAGTATTTTGCAAGTTTCTCCTTCCTTAGTCCTGGTTTCAGTACCATGGGATAATCTATCATCATTTAAGGTAACTAAGCTAGGATCACCCAGCTAATAAATGGAAAGGCATATTTAAAGCCAGGCAGTGTGGCCACAGAGCCCAGGTAGCCTTGTCTCCACCCTCACCCATCTTCAGAGACCCACCCATGCTCCAAACTTACTCAGCTTAGTAAGTTTAACAACCAATATTTGTAATTAGACGTGGTGATATATTTCCCCTGCCCTATATGGACAGGAATTACACAGTCCAATGAGTCCCTGAGAGTCCAGCAGCATGCACAGTATTCCTCATCTAGAACCCTGGCTACTCTGAGGACAGCAAATGTTTTTGTGGATTCCTCCAGCACAGGGTGCTCGTAAGCTCATTCTGTTCTGTGGAGTTTTGCAGACACAAAAGCAGTGCTTTTTACAGAGTGTTGTGAGACAGCTGCTGAAGCCGTCTTCCCTCCCCTCTCCTAGTTCAAAGCAAATTTGGAGAAGAACAAGCAGGGCCTGGAGACGGACAATAAGGAGCTGGCATGTGAGGTGAAGGTGCTACAGCAGGTTAAGGCCGAGTCCGAGCACAAGAGGAAGAAGCTGGATGCTCAGGTCCAGGAGCTCCACGCCAAGGTGTCGGAAGGTGACAGACTCAGGGTGGAGCTAGCCGAGAAAGCAAATAAGCTACAGGTAAGCTGGAGCATCTGGACTCTTGCGTGTTCTATCAAATGTCAGGAAAGTGCCATCAGAGTTAAGTACACCAACTCAAGTCTATGTTTGGAGGAGGTAAATAGTACATATTTTAAGAGTAAAATACAATGTGAGTTGGTTTTAGACCTAATCCAGTGCACTGTAAATTGGATGGCTTTAAGTACTTCATCTTCTCCATTAGTCCAGAAAATGATGAAGCAGGAGCAACAGGCAAAGATAATTACACCTCGTAATGATGAAGAATTGAGGAAACTGGGGTTTTTTTATACACGTGTTTAAAGTATAAATTGGTACGGCTTTTTTTGTGAGGGCAGTTGATAATTAAATGTCATATAAACCATCACGCTGTGAATACCCTTGGGCCTCCCAAAATCAGTGTCTTTCTCATTTATAGAGAAATAATTAAAGCTACACACAGATTCAATTTAAAGTTGTTCATTGTGGAAATGTATAGAAAAGCATAGAATTAGAGCTAACTTCAGTGTCTACTAACAGACTTCAGTGCAGTCAGTAAAAACAACTTTTGGAAGAGAGAGGTATGTGCCATATTGCTGTGCTGGAGGAAAAATACAGAAAACAGAGACTGGAGACCACCTCCAATGATGTGCTGGGACAATTCTTAGGACTCCACATCTGGTCCTTCCCACACCATGATTTCTTCCAGTGGGGGAGTAGAGGGCAAGGTCAGGACACAGAAGGAAGCCTGAGCTAGGGGGCCCTGTGGCTGCAAGGTATGCACATCTGTGGCTTCCTCCTGCCCCAACCCCGGCTCATGCCCACAGTGTGCCCTCAGCTCCTCCAGCAGGGTGGTAACAGTATGTGGAGTGTCATCCTTCAGGAAGCTCATCAGACACTCAGCACCCAGGCTGTTGCAGAGGCTGATCATGTTGCAGTCTGCTTGGAACATCCCAAAGCCAGACTCCTGGAATGATAGCAGGTGCTCATTACAAGTCACGTTGTTGACACAACTAGTTTAGGCCAGTGCATCTCACTTATCACTTGGAAAATTGTGAGCACCCACCTGAAATCCAAGTTTCTAGATACTCGTCAGGGATATCACAAGTGGGCCTTTCTAAGGAAAGCAGTCATAGGCCTACTGGGTTAACATGTGTACAGAAATATTTGTTTGTGCATGCATGCGTGAGCTCCCACAGATCTAGGAAGATGCTCCTGAGAGGCAGATGTTAGAAACAGTATTAGGTGCTTTCCATATGGCATGGAGACAAGGTGAGTGGTGTCATAGGCCCCTGAGCAGCACCAGGCTACAAGGTTTCTGGGTACATATGTGCTTCCCCCATTTCAGCTTTACACCAGCTCCATGAGCTAGGCAAGGAAGCTGTAGCTCACAGAAGCTAAGGACCTGCTGTCTAATGACATACTGTCCATTTTCAGATAAAAAGCAGGAAGTCCCTCTTGACCCCAGAGCCCTTCCTCAGCATGCTGTACCAAGACTGGTAAAAAAAGATGAGTCTCTTAAAGTAAAATAAAAACATAGTTGCATTCAATATACAGACCTGTCCTTCATACACTTTCTCTTTGATAATAGCACCAGAGACAAATGAGGGCAAAGGGTGCTCTGCTGTCCCTTCCGAGTCCTTCCAGATCCATGATTCTCACCAAAAAAAAAAAAAAATCTTAAACTATAGGAACCTTTTTTTGTGTTTTTGGAAAATATTTTAGAGGTAGCTTTTTCACTGAGGAAGAATAGGAGAAAATACTGCAATATTCCTAAAATCTGACCATAAGAAAGAGCATAATATTCAGTGAATATATACTAGGGTTTGGGGAAGGGGTACTTTTAATTTTATTTTTTGAATGTGTATGAGTATTTTGCCTGCGTGTATGTAAGTACACCCATGCACACAATGCCCATGAAAGCCAGAAGAGGACATTGGATCCCTTGGAACTGGAGTTAAGGACAGTTGTTAGATGCCATGTGGGTGCTGGGAACTGAACCTCTTCAGGAACAGCCTGTGCTTTTAACTGCTAAGACATCTTTCCGGCCCCAGTTCTTTTGATCTTTGTAACAGGGTCTTACTATACCCTTGGCTGGCCTGAAACTTGCTGTGAAGACTAAGCTGGCTTTAAACTCCTAGAGATCCGCCTGCCTCTGCCTCCTGTGGTGGGATTAAAGACATGTACCACCATGCCCAGCTGAATATTTCTTCTGAGTTCCTTAAATAAAAATTTCAAATTCTGTAAGAATGTAAATTATATGTATCCCCAGAGCATTTGCTTAATGCAGATTGATATGAAAAGAATAAAAAAAAAAAAAAA